CTGCTGGATATGGGCACCAGTGACCCACGCAACCCTGAAAAGGAAGAAGCGTGTACAGAAAATGGATGGATTTTATTGATTTATTACACTTACACATTACGCTTTTATAATTATTAGTTGTAAAACGGTCACCAGGCAATATTATCGTTTATCGCAATAAATTTTGAGACAATTAATCGCCCAGCAAAATTTGTTATCGTGACAGGCCTATATATATATTGTAATAAACATAAATAGACATAGCAGTGATGAGTAAATCATTTCACCCACACTGATACAAATATAAACCAGACTTAAATAAAACATTGGTGTTCAAGAGAGGGAAAAAAGTAATCTCAAAGTCATAGCAGATTTTAAACAAAACATAAGTTACAAAACTTGGAAAACATACTGTCACTTTTACTTCACTATTTTTATCCCCACCACACCACACAGTCGCTACTACTAGTGCTGCACCTCACTAAAATATGTTGTCTCAAATGCTAACTAACTAGCGTGAATGATAGCTTGCTTTAAGGCAACAGTTTTTATACCGAGTAACTACATAAAACATTTATTCCTTATATGTATTATTTAGTGTAACCCACACTCAGATTCTGACCTAGCATTCATTTTGAATGCTGACCTAGTATGCCAACTTAGCCAGCTAGCTCTGGTTAGCGGGTGGATTCGGAAGACAGTCAGCATCTTGTAGCCTTAAGCTAACTTTAGCTCACGAAGCTGCGAGCGCAAAGCAAACGACTAACAGCCACTTTAACACACTCAAACATACCTAGAATCATGCAAGAATGAAAATGAGCAACAGGGTGTAGAAATAAATTTACCAAAGTGTAGAACAATTGCTCCTTCTAGTCTTATCATTCAGCGACCCATCCCCCGCCCTCACCACGCCTCCTCAACTCTCGGGTCGTAACATGGGAAATACGAGCTAATTCTGTACGGCAAGCCGTTGCAACATATAATCAATCCACAACACCAATTATTCGTGAATACCGGATTTTCTTTGGCTTAGAAGTTATTTTATATTTTTATTTTGTGAATCTAGAATGAAAGATATGACTTGGATTAGTGGAATTTAATTTTTTTCAGCAAAAGTCTATGGTTTTGTTGTACTGAAGCTTATTTCTGCCACACAAAAGATCTATTTAGTCATATCTTCTATGAGATACCATCTCATATATATTACTTGCCATTGAGTAACTATGACTCAGAATTATTAGATGTTGAGTCATTAATATGAGACATCTTTCACATTTTTGTTTTTTATTTATTTTTTTTCTCAACGTACTTATATTTTGAACACTCGCATCTTATTTAACTTATTTATTCTTGCGGTTTTCAGAATGAAATAAAATGAGGCAAAACACTGTATCTTCCACAGTTTTCTAAAAATTTATTTACATCTCATCATGCATAATTTGTCAGCAGCAATGTTTCACTTAGAACATTATCAGAAAAATAAATACTTCATTTTACTTTACACCAGAAAAAACACTGAAGATCTGCAAACGTGTTTAACTTAAAACAAGACGTTTGTCATGTTTTATTCAATGTTGTCTTACAACAACACATAAATAATATATATTTGAAAACGCAAAAGTTTTAAGCCCATGTAACTCTAGAACAGGCACTTGTTGAATTAGACTCTTTGAATCTACTTCGACTTGACTCGGACTTCTCCAACCTGAGTCCAGCTCCAGTCCAGATCCTGGAGAGGAAAAAAATAAAAGTAGTACCAACAAAACACCCAGCCTTTTGTCAAAATTCTAACATAAATCTAAGAAACGAGACATACTTTGGGAGAAAAAACAAACAAACAAAAAGGTACAGAATATGGTGGTTTATATTCACAGTACTAAAATCTTGCACATGTAGCTTACTGAATCAAAAGTTGAGCAGTGTTTTAGTGTTTGTTAGAACTACTAATATACTGTTTAGCACAACTTTATACTGTACCATAACACTGTGCTCCATCTCCTGAGTGGCATCTTGCAGCAGAGAAGTGAGATGACTCATATAACGCTGATTTTCATCGAGTAAGTGATCAACTGTTTCACTGAAAAAGACAGAACACTAAGCTAGATGCATTCATTTCTAAGAACTTATTCAACACTTGTTTAGTCTTGAAAGAAGAGACAGTGACCTCTTGTGGCGGTTTTGTTCATGCATCAGATGTTTTTGAAAGACACAAACTTAAGGTAGTGACCTGAGCCTCTAGATTTTACCTGTTAGTCGGTTGTTGCACAAGTGACGGACAAGGAGAATCCCTTTGTGCCTACAAACACAAGCAACACACAGTGTAAGCTACTGAATCAGCTGAGAACGATACTGAGCTTCAAGCTTCCGATGCCTCACTTTTAATGAACATTTCCTCTACTCTTATTTATTGCACACTTACACAAGCAATCTTGAGAAGGAACCAGAACTCTTTCTGTCTCTTCACTTGCATCTGCATTAGTTCAGCGCTTGCCGTTTTTATTTTCATAAGCGCCTCGTCCAGTTTAGGGAACAGATCCACGATGCGTTGCTTGCAGATCAGGATTTTACTTCAGGTAAAGAGAACAATGGAGAAACTGTCAAAATAAGAGCATCCGTTGCCAAGAATGTTGGCGTATCTGAGTTAGAGTTGAAGATAAACTACCTCAAATGAGTGTAGAGGTCTTTTAACACTCGGTCCTGGTTCTGAACCATCTGGAGTATTGTCCTCACCATGTCTGAGCTGTCACTGTAGCCATGTGGAGGATCAGGACCTGCAGAAAACAAATTTTGAGGATCAGACGTGTACAACATTCGGACATAATAAAGCGCACACTACAAACCAACTCTTACGTATCCTGCTTGTTAAATTGGCAGCAATGCAGAAGAAATAATTAAACAGCTGAGATATTTTACTCTGCAGCTTCTGCAAAGAACTCATTTAAACTTAGCTGTATCCTCAGCAACATTATTAAACAATTTGATCTGAAATGTTTRTACCAACTTTTGCATTTAGCCTTTAGTTGCTTGTAGAGTTCAACAGCTTTATCTTCACTGGAAATAAAGACAAACAGTTTGAGATTATTATGGTTGTTGAAAATCATTTTCCAGTTTTTCCAATTAAATAAATATCTGTTTATTATATATATACATTGCTGACACTCTTAAGGGTTTAGTTTATTTCAGTGTGGTATTGTTGGAATAAATAATTGAAGTAAAAAAAAGACTTAATGCACAACTGAACATCTGCAAAATGAACAGAGTTACTGACAGCTTTTGCATCACATCCCCTTGTCTCCTGGCGAACGGACTTCTCTGCAGCTCCACGATCTCAGAATGCAGAGCCACTATCTCGTCATCAAGACAGCTCACGTCTGCAACCTGCAGGAAAAACACATTTCAACATGTTTTAACGTTAAACATCCGACTGTCAGCTCTAAATCAACTGCAGACGAGTTTACAAACGTCCTACTTCTGCAAATTCATCAGCCTTGTTTTCGTTTTCTTGCCAGGTCTTCAGCATTTTTTCAGAAGCTTCAAAAAAAAAAAAAAAAAAAAAGAACAACAGAAAGATTGATTGAGGTTTAAATATTAATTGAAATTACAGTATGTTTAACAGCATAAGAACAGAACGCACTCACAGATGCCGGTGTTCATCTGCTGGGTGTACTGCTCCAGATCGTGCTGGATGCTGGTTTTAAAGATGGCCAGTCTGGCTCGGAGCTGCTGCGACTCCGAAAGCAGCACATTCTTGAATCGGGTTAGGTTGGTGTTGTATCGCAGCAGGCTAAGTCTACACGGGCAAAAGGCACAAATTATATTTCTATTTGTTGGTGGATTTTTTTTGTTTCAAATGAGTCAGTTGTACTCACATGGCAGCTCTCTGTCCCTGGTACAGGCGGAGGTAGTCCTCCTTCAGGCCACATACGTAGCTGACTGCTTCCCCCCACACCTTCCTGAGAGAGGACAGAGGCAGCTGTGTCTTCGTTTCCCTGACTGAGAAAACAACAATTGTCTGTGAATCTTATAAACAAAATTTAAAACCTACTCAAAGAATATCTATTAATTTTGACGCGTAGAAAAAAAAAAAACAGCAGGAAAATTCTCACCTATAAAGTTAACAGTGTCTGGCAGAGGTCTGGATGTCAGTGGTCCAGAATACTTGGTAAGGTTCTTATCAAACAGGAACACTATGAAGCTGTCCCAGCCTCGCTAAAAAATAAAAAATAAACAGAGATAAGAGTTATTACATTTCATGTTTTACTGATCTGATGGAAATGTAACACTAACTCAGGAATTCAGGGTTCCTACAGTTTACGGCAAGTTAAATTTAAGACTTTTTAATGCCACGTGAAATCAAATTTAAAACCAATTTCACAATAAACACAAATGAGAAAAAAATTAAAACTGTGGTAGAAACTCRTGAATCAAAGTATTTTTGGTTGAACTATTCAAATATTGCTAATAGACCAATTGTTTTTATCCATATCTAACTGCTATTTTGTCAAATATAGAAAAAAATCATTCTTAGTTGTCAGTTTTTAAACTTAATTTAATTTCTGGAAATCCTCTAATGAACCAAAATTTGGAGTTTTATGACCCACAATGGGTTCTCAACCCCAGCTTGCYGTGGATGAAACCTTAAAGTGTATGCGACATCAAATTTTTGTAAGAAATATGAATGAATTTTTGGGAAAACARCATTATTAAGATATTAGAGAACAGATTTCACATTGCTCAGATGGACAGTTGCTGAGATATTTGCAGGTGAAGTAACAGGAAGTGGTGTCAAAAGGGAACATCTGAATGGGACTATATCAAAAGTAAATAAATGTTACCAATTATTTTAATATTTGACTTGAATTACAGTCATCCTACTTACGATGTGTTAACATTTTTAAGACTTCTGAAGATTGATTTAAGACCTTTTCAGGCTAATTAAGGCCTTATTTTTAGATTGATGAATTCAAAGCGTTTTAAGACTTTTTAAGGATCAGCAGGAACCCTGGAATTTCCAGTTTTTTTTAAACAAAACATGATGGTTAAAATATGCAAAAAAAGAGCAGGTGCACTCCATCCATTCATCCATACTTTGATTTGTTTTACTTAGCCTCTTCGTCTTTACTGGGAGCTGCTTCTYATCTACAGCCGTYACTGAGAGAGGTGGCGGACACCYTGGACAAGTCTCAAGTYCATCRCAGGGACATATAAAGATGAACAAGACAACCRCTCACACTCTCACCCACACCTAGCAACAATTTAAAGTTACCAATGAGCCTAACATGCGTGTTTTCGCCCTGTGGGAGCTCTAACCACCGCGTCACTGTTTGATGACAACGTGTCTGGTCTTTTTGACTTCAGCTACCTCTGTTTCTGTGAGTTTTACGTACCAAACCCTCTGGCAGACACTGAGCCGGCGGCCACCTCGGGTCGAGAGACATTCCCGTCTCCAGCAGCAGCTCCTGGTCCAGTGGAGGGATGTGTGCCTGGGTGTTTGTCTCCAGACGAAGCTGCAGGGAGAGACAACTCTCCTCGGCACCCAAAACCATCGAGTGTAGCTGGGCTGACGTCATGTCCAGAACATGCATAACCTAGAAAAAAAAAAAAACAGGTAAAAAACGAGAGGTTTGCTTTAGATACTGGTCTGTTTTCTTGTCTTACTACATTTTATATAGCGACAAACGCTGGTTAACCTTCATGCTGAGAATATTCTGCAGGGTGGTGTAGCAGTATGGCTTGTTTGTTTTCGGATCAAGCCCACCGCCGCGGCCTGCAGGATCCCACGATAAYAACATCTGAAGGATGGACTCGACCGGTTCCAGCAGCACCCTGGGAACACGCACAAACAGGTGACACGCTAGTTTCACAGGAGAGTAAAACCCAGGTGTTCTCATCATCTCTACCGGCTGAGATTGTTGGGATACGGCAGGTGTGTTGAGAATCGAACTTCCCCATTCATGTCCTCAACTGCCATGATGTCTTTAGGGCCCTTGTTCTTGACTTTGCTGATCCTACGAAAACATGAAATGTGACCAAAACATAAATAAATAAATCACCAAAAATCATTAAAACAAAAGAGGACTGACAAACTCCAAAAAAAAAAGATACTGTCACTTTGGTTTGGTCTGTTTTAAGGGCACAAAATTTTTGATTTTATTGCTGAACAGAGTGATAAAAAAAAGTGGTAAACAGAAGATTTTTTTGGCTCACCACTGTACTGGCTGCATGTGGTGTAGAAACGGCCGGAAGCCACAAATACATTCAAAAAGGACATTCCCAAAGCTCCAGTAGTCCACCGTCACAGTGTAGGGTTTGCTCTCAAACAGCTCCGGAGCCTGCCAGAAAGATTTGCAGTGAGAAAACACYCGACTTACTGAAAACAAAAAACCTAATCTAGAGAACCGCATCACTGATGCAACGTTTAGTTACCAAATACTGAAGMGTCCCAACAAAGGATGTGCAAAGGCTGCCTTGATCCAGATCTTTTGCATAGCCCAGGTCAATGATTTTGTGGACAATCTTTAAAAAAAACTCATCATAATTAGCAGTTAATGCAAAAAATCTAATAAATGACATGACACTGCAGAACTAACCACATGTGTTTACCCACCTTTCCATCAATTTCTTGCATGACTATATTCTCAGGTTTAAGGTCTCTGTGGATGATTTTATTGTCATGAAGATACTGGATACCAGAACCTGCAAATAAAAAACCACATTAATTATGCATTAATGCACGATTTAAGAGGCTTTCTATTAAAGTAAAAGCATTACCCATGTCACTGAGCAGAGAGAGGATTTCACTCTCCTTCAGTCCACAACAATTTTCAGGTTTATTCAGAACCTAAAATAAAGAAGGTGTTATTTGGAGTTATTAATTTTTTTAAAAAGACTATTTTAGTACCTTGCGTAGGTCTCCTTTTGAGCAGTACTCCATGGCCAGCAGCGGCAGGTCGTTTAAAGCGATAGMGTTCAACTCTTCTGGAACTTCTCTGGCTTTAACAATATTCACATGGTCGAGCCTGTAAAAAATAAATAAACAACATGCTCAACACATACAAAATTTTATCCGTAGGCTTTATTTTTTTATTTATGTTAATGCTCACTTTTTCATGATATGAATCTCTCTGCTCCACCAGTCTCTGTTTTTGCTGCTCAGCTCTAGGCGGCAAAGTTTCACCGCGATTTTCTCGCCGGCCTCCTTCACCAAAGAAAAATGACAAAACGTACCTGAGAACAACGTCTTTTAGGATGCACAAAATAARTAACACTTACAAGGTGCTGGTACAGGTAGACGTGGCCAAAGCCTCCCATCCCAAGCTTTTCCTTCATTTCCCAGGAGCCACACAGCTGGCTCTGTTTAGGTGCAGCTCGCTCCATTGTGTGCAAGAACCTCAGCTGAAAAAAACAAAACAAATATTTTCTATTTTAAACATATTTATGCACTCAAGGATCACATATATACTGCTACTTAATCCACATGTTTAAAATATTTCAGCTTAGTTGGCTTTTGGCAACAGTTTTTTTTTATTTGACAAGCTTAGCTAAGAACTGGAATCGTCTCCACAGAGGAGTTTTAAATGCTTTATTTCATTCCCAAACTACATTCACTTGCCTTAATGATGCCCCTTTCTTTAACTGATGCTAACTCCATTAGCTGGTTTAGTCACTTATTGTTTCAGGACTCATATTAATGTCACGTAGGTTTAAAAATAACCTCAAATACGTCCTTACTATATATGAAACTGCATACTGAAGGGATCATTTCCTCTCCACAAGTCAACTCACCTGACAGTCCTGAAAAAAAGTCAACAAACCATGACAGCGTACTTTATCAAATCATTTCCGCTTGTTTTTCCTATTTAGTGTTCGAGRAAAGAAACCGATTCGCCTAAAAACCACCACTACTCAATAACCATGGCTTTATTTGGCGTTTTATGCTCTTAAGTTTTGAAGAGCGGCTAACGACTGAAACACAGCCGTACCTACTCGAACTGAAAGTACGCTGGAGTGGGAGGGAACTGAGCATGCGCAGAAACAACATTGGCCAGCGCTGGCCAACGTTGTTTCTGCGCATGCGCAGTTCCCTCCCACTCCAGCGTACCTACTCGAACAAGTACGCTGGAGTGGGAGGGAACTACGCATGCGCAGAAACAACGTTGGTAAAAGCGCTGCTGTCTTTCCTAAGTTTCTTTCTGTATTTATTTATTTAATGAATTTTGTTTTATTTACTCACACATAAAACGCATTTTAGGCTTCATGGTCATAAATAGTCAAGTCTCTTTCCTTTTACTGCATTATTACCGTAAAAGTTGGGGAAATCCCCAGCAGCTAAAGAAGAAATRMATCTGCACTTGAACAATTTTGACACTAGATGGCGYTAAATACAAAGTTCAGATACTTCAGGTGCTGAGAAGGAGAGGTCACTGTGATGGCACTACGAAGGTAAGCAACAGTCTTGACAAACTCTTATATTTGGAGGCAAAACAAGCTTATRCACTCAAAAAGTAAACACGTGTTGTGCTGTTTAGTGTTGAAACTGAATCATTAAGCACTTTGATAATAGCAGCCTGTCCCAAAAAAACAAAAATTATTCCTATTTCATAGTTTGTTAAATAAAAAACAGTATTTTAGCAGCCACAACATGTACCATATTGCATCTTTTGGGTGCAATAGAAGAGCTTGGATTCATTTTTTCTAAAATAATGTACCTTTTTCCTGAGTTGTAAAGTAACTAAGTACACATACTTTGTTACTGTACTTAAGTAGAAATTTTGGTTATCTGTACTTTACTTGAGTAGTTATTTTTCAGGGTAATTTTTACTTTTACTCATTACATTTTTACACAATTATCTGTACTTTCTACTCCTTACATTTTTTAAAACAGTAAGAAATAGAAAGACGTTACTCCTATTTTATTCCAGGTTATTATTTAAAAAAATATACAATCCTGATAAATTGTGTCTCCTGAGGGAATTTAACTGTGGTTGGATGAGAAGTATAAATATATACCATTCTGACACCGTATTACTWTGTACACAGTCCATCACAGCTGCACGCCATTAGAAAAAAAAACATTTTTTGGAGAAGTCACTTCCCAATAAATGTCTTTTAGGAAATTCTTAACCGCTCACTTTTACTCAATACKTTTACTTTTAATACTTCAGTGGATTTTGTGTCAAGAATTTACTTTTGATACTTAAATACAAAAAATATCYGACACTTTAAGACTTTTACTCAAGTAATATTTTTAGAGAAGACTTTAACTTTTACCAAAGTATTTTTTATGATAATATACGCACTTTTACTTAAGTATCCCTTTGATGTACTTAATACAACACTGCCTTTTCCCCACTCTTTATCGACTATACTGTGTAATGAATGAAAGAATGAACGAAACATTTTCAGTGTGGCTTAAGTTTGTAAGAAAAGTGAAATAATATTGCAGTTATAAGGCAAAGCAAAACACATCTGTATAATTTCAACTGGATATGTTTCACTTTGCAGAATTGTCAATGGCGAGAGCTAAACATTTCACAACTCTGAAACAAGCACTGAGCTCACAGCTGTTCAGCAGAATTTGCAACATTCTGGAGACCTGATGACATGACTGTAGTCATGATTTCTGAGCCGATGAAACAAACACCAGCTGTTTTACTGCTGATAAACAGATCAAATTTACTGAACATGCCTGTGATTTAGTGGGGTTTGTTGTCGAGCTTGTAAAACAACACGTATTTTAGTCTAAAGTGTTTTGCACATCATTTAGTTTAACTTGAAAATGTTGATGCAAATAGAAAYATTTGCTGAATTTAACTAAGATTAAATTTATTTGAATTCATGATTCATGGGTTCTAAAAAGGAAATGAGCAATTTTCTTGTCTGATGTTAAAGCTAGTATGTTACTAATGTGAACAATGTGTGGTTTATAAAGTTTGTATGCGTGAGAAATAACAAAAAAAAAAACTTTTGTACTGCAGTCTTTTGCAGCATCTCCTCACCCTGAAACTTTTGTTAAAAAATTTAGATAGCCTGTGTGACGTTTTCAGATTCTTCTTGAGTTTAAGCGTCTTTATTTGTGTATTTAAATGATTTTTGGTATCAAATGCTAAAAAAATTTTGTGGGAAAAAAAAGGTCCATCATATGCTTTTTAAACAATCCCCTCCTTAACTCAATGTTTCCTTTGCGATGCTTTGACTGAGATAATGCAGACRTTTTGCTACCCCACCTACACTGAAAAAAAAGATTTTTGGGTGTAGTAACATTTATTTAATTATTCTTTTAAATTTTACAAAAAAAATCAAAATTTTTAAACTACTAGAATTTACAAAATAAACAATATGCATTATATTATACAGTATATCAATATTA